ACATTAAATATTTTCGGAAGTATTCGATGTCTAGTTTTGAATCATAAAGGCGCGAAGTGATGTGGCTTGAAGCTTGCTACCCTTGTCTATAGTTGTCTGAAACTAGCAATAAATTAATTTAAACACCTTAGTCACCCTTTGCTTCTCACAGTTCCACAATTCCTCGAGATAACATGCTGTATTTTACCCATTCCGTTCCATCTTTAGCCAGCGTTACTGATGCCATTGACTGGAACTTCGCGATAGTTGAGCTGCTGGAAAAGCAAGGTGTCGACTTACGTAAAGAGATGCAGAATCGTCTGCTGCAATTGGAAGAGCAGCATCGGCGTGAAAAGGAAGAGGCTAACCATTTCTTTGCTCAACAGCGCAAAGTGAGTACATGCCTCGCAAGTTAACGCTTAACGAGGCCTTCGAAATTTTCCTTTTAAATGATAGCTCATCATTTTTATTCGTATTTACACTGCCGCACTGAGAGAACTGAAGATTTTAATAAAGATTCATTAACTTTATTACTTTACTATTAATACTAATAAATATAATATCATATCAGCAGCAGCAGCAGAATATCATCAGCATCAAGAATTAGTTATAGTTTATAAACATGCTGACCTTGCAAATAAATAACTTCTTCGATTTTAATGGCAAATACATGTTTGCCCGTAGAAAATCCCACTATAATAATGTTAGTCTGGAGAGATCTGGTTTGCCTTGGAAATCGTATCTTCCTTTTGTCCTGCTGGCTGGCACATGTAGTCAAGTAGTGGTGTGGTAACATGTTGCCACGATGCGCACGACCCTGTCGAGATGAGAAATCTTTATATGAGACAAGGCTTAGTAAAAGTTAATGATATAGTTATGCCTACTCATATCATAGTGTAAAAAACTACTCTACTGGATATGTAAGCCCACCCAGTTCTTATCACCTATTTTTTAAATTTATAAGTAGATTTTTGGAAACTACCACCATATCATATATATGAGATGTATTCATCCTATTTCCTTTTAGGTGGTGAAGGATTGGTAGTTTAATTTTAGCACAATAATTTGAATAGGCCTTACGTTTCCATTGAATTTCGCAGTCTTGTCTTGGTGAGAATACCTATTGGGAGGCAAGACTATGTGTAATTCAATGGGAAAGTAAAGGCAACTAAAATCATTGTGGGAAAATTCAACTACCAGTTCTTCATCATCTTAAATAAAATTGGGTGAGTGCATCCATTATCATCTATATTTACATCTAATATTTGGAAGTATTATTTTTATCGTAAACATGAAGGCCAAGATTTTGTGGCCTTTTGTTTGATCGCAGTCTCCTTTAGCTTTATAATGTTGATCTGACCTCGTTTCCACAATTTAGTCGGAGCGGCAAGGAGACTTTTTGGAACATACCTAGTCCTGCATCTTCTGCCCTAGTATTCATGGTGATTTCCAGCATTGGACAATTGACTTTGTACATTCCCATACATTTCGCCAGTATCGTAGTCGGTACTGTCAGTCAGAGGGTCCATCATTAGCAC